GACCCCTTTGGCGGTCGAACGACCCTTTCACAGGGGTCACCTAAGACCATCCTGCATATCAGATATTTACATTACGATTCCTAACAGTAGCAACATTACAGTTATGAAGTAGCAACAAAAATAATTTTATGGTTGGATCACAACATGAGGAACTGCATTTAAAGGGCCAGAAGGTTGAGAACCACGGCCCTAAGGTGACTCTCAGGGCCTTGGTTTGCCCTCTGTTAAGGGGAAAAAGTCACCTGCCCCACCTCCCACCCAGAACTGGAGAGGAGCTGTCCCTTAAGCTTGTTTAGTGAGTTCCAGCCTCAGGACGGTTCCCTCACTCACCCTGTGGCCAATTCCTCCTCCTCCTCTAGGTTCCTGCTCAAATGTCACTTCTCCAGAGAGGTCTTCCCTAAACTCCCTGGTCAAAGTCACCCCCCCTCCCTCCACTCATTCATTCAGTCATTCATTCCTGTCATACCATCATAGGACACCTACTGTGGCAGAGGTGTAGGTACTCTCAGAGCTCACAGGTGGCTAATGGATAAACACATCAACATCATCATTTCTGATGTGTCAGAAAAGAAAGGTGTGATAGGAAGGACAGGGTGAAATTGTAACCTCTGGAAAGAGATGGTGGGGTTGGTGACTCTGAAGGGGATGGGAGAGCAAAGGGAGGGAACAGCTAGGGAACAAGTGTTCTAGGAAACAGCAGGTGCAAAGGCCCTGAGGCCAGATCACACCTGAACCAGTGAAGGAGTGTCTGACTGGAGGAGAAAGAGGAGATGGGAGTAACTGGTGGGGACTTTGTGGGTCCTGGGTTTCGGGGAGGAGTTTGGACTTTGCTGAATGGGGCAGGACCTGGGAGGGTTTGGGGTGCTTCTCCCATCCAGCTCTGTCTCTTCCGCCAGACAGGAGACCACCCCAAACACAAAGCTCCCCATCCCCCTGGTCAACCATCTCTAGTTCCAGAGCCACATTCTGATTCTTAGTAAGAAAGGCCTTGCGTCATTTTTATGTTAAAATACAAATCTGTCTGGGCAGAAGCGGTTGCACATTGTTGTGGTGTTTTCCCTGAGGAAAAAACAGGTATTTCCAAGTGCCACCCACAGACGAAGCGGAAAGCAGGAGGGTCAGGGAGCCAAGGGGCCTCAGGCTCCTCGCTTCCCCTGGGTGCCGGGACCAGCCGCACCAGAGCCGGGACTCCACTGCCATCTTTGTGTGCGGGGAACCTGGGGTGGGATTCTTTATTTCTGTATGTATTTCCTGAATTTCCACAATTCCCTGCAGTGGGTTTGTGATACTCTCATAGTCTAAGTGGGGGAGATGGACAAAAGTGTTACCCGGAAGTAAAACAGATTTCCCAAATGCAAGCGGAGCAGGAGGGACCCTCTGCACGTCCAGGGCTCCGGGGGCAGGCGTGCATTGAGGGGGCGGCCTCCAGGCGCAGTTATTCTGGTTTCTCGTCGCCTGCGCAGCTGGAGAGCTTTTTATAAACAGGACGCGACTCTCCCCATCCCCGCCTCCTGGGGGCCATTCGGGGGAATCGGATCCTCCTGGGGAGCGGAGGGAGCTGGGGCCGGGACCTGGAATGAGGGCCCGGTGTCTCCTTCTCCCGCCCCCCGCAATGCTGTCTCCCCCGTCTCAATACTGGGGGGAGGAGGGAGGACGATGGAGCATCTCAGCCCCCAGAGTCTCACTGAGTCTTGTTTCCCCAGGAGGGAGGGGGGCCTCTCCGGCCCTGGCTTTAACTCAGGAACCAGGGAGGGGAGAAGCCTAACCCCGCTGGTACCCTCCTCGCTTCCGGCTCTTTTATCCTAGGCTTTGCAGGTTTAGGGGTCAGGCGGTTTCTCCGCCTTACTTCTGCCTTTTCTTAGAATTTTTCTCTGGAAAATGGGGGTCGGCAGGAGTGGGGTTGTTGGAGCGTCCATCAGCCCCTTCCCTTTTTCTGGGAATTGGTGGGGAGGGTGACTCTACTGGCCCCTGTTTCTTATTTCATCTCAGAAACCGGGTGGTGCATCTATCAGCCAGACCCACTTTGGGGTCTTTCATCTCAGAAAATGGACGGGGTCTCCCAACTCCTATGTCCGCTTTTTCTTCTTTTGTACTTTTTTGAACCCTATACATAGGAGGTATGGAGCAGCTCTCCACCTCTGTTTCTCTTTTCTAAAATTGGAAAGGGCGTGGCGGGTGACGGGAGAACACAGCTTCCTGGTCTGGGTAGGGGCCGCCTGTGTCTCACCTGGGGTGAGCGGCGGTGGGGAAGGGGAACGCCCCCCAAACACCCGGACCCCCTCCAGGCCTCGGCCTCCTGTCACCCTCTGCTCTGGAGCCACTAATGGACCAAAGGAGGAAGATAATAATCACTGATTGGCTGCTCGGCCCGTCGCTCGGATGCTTAGGCCAGTTAGAGATTGCTGCGCAGCCCCGCCTCCATGACACTGCCAAGGGGCGGAACCAGAAGGCGATTCCGCCCCTCCTGTTACGTTACCGCCCGCTATTGGATGTGCACACTGGGCCCCGCCCCATTTGTGCGTCAATCTGCGCAAGAGTCCCGCCCCTTCTGGCTCTGAGGGCAGCAGTGGGCCGCCTCTTCTAGCGCGGCTCCGCCCCAGGATGGCGTCACGGCCGTGTCTGCATGTGAGGCCCCGCCCCGCTCTTTGCAGGACGTCACCGCAGACTGCAGGGGCTCCAGCTGCTGCCGCGCAGCCCTACATCCTCGCACGGGAGGCTCGTCACCGTCTCCGCCAAAAAAGTCGCCGTTGTTGTGGTCGTCACCGCATCGGTGCAGGGCAAGGTGAGCTCCTGGGAGGCCTGGTGCGCTCCCGCTGAAAGCATCTAAATAAACTTCATTTGGGTGGATTGGCAGGGTTAGGGGACGAGGTTGGTGGGGGTTAAATAGAGGGAGGATGAGGTAGTCGCAGGCCTGGGGAGGAGTAGGGCCCTGGCTCCCCTCACCTGCCCTACCCTCATCCCTCTTACCCCCGCCTCTGCGGCGGAGGGGGAGGGGAGGCGAGTGCCTTGCGGGAAACTGCGTGCGCGTGCGCGGGGTGTGCACACGCGTGTGCGCGCCCGCCTGTGTGGGCGGGTCTGTATGCACCCTTGCGTGTACCTGAATATGCTCATGTGACTCCATGTGGTCCTGACCCAAATATGTCCTTGCTGCACGCTTGTGGAGAGAAATGCATGGATTGTGCGTGTGCGTGCACGGCTGTGTGCATTCGTACAGGGGAATGCATGCCTGTGTGGGTTACGTACACACACCTGCATGTGTGAAGGGCGCCGTGTGCACGTCTGGGTTTGCACCTTTGTATATGCATGCCGGTGTGCAGACAGGTGTCTGCGTCTCTGTTCTGTGTTCCGAGTGTGTTTGACCCTCATATGCACGCACGTTTACCGGTATGTGCCCTGCTGTGTGCACGTGAGCGTGTGCATGCTCCACCCTTATCAGTGATGCAGCTGCCTCAGCTTGAGCTCCCCCAGCCTGGAATTGGGGCTGCAGATTTGCATCCAGGCGGACTGTCCAGGTGTGCCCGTTTTGGGTTCTGAGGAACATAAATGATAGATGGGGGGCGGGGCCGGCCGCAGTTACCCCCTCCCGGCACAGCCCTAGGGTGTAGGGTTACAGCCTGACCTGGGGCACAGGTCTACTGGAGGGGGCTGCAGGGGTGTCCTCATCCCGGCTTCTCTGAACTCCTTCCTGAAATACACTCCCCTTCCCCCACCTTTCAAGGTCACATCAGGCCCTCTGCCCTGGGTTCCACAGTTAGTAGACATGGGGCTTCTGGTGGAATGCTGGTTCCTCTCTGTGGCTCTAGAGTTTTCTCCATCCTGGGCCTGGGGATGGCAGAGGACCCCTCACACTAGCCTGTGCCCCACATTCCCAGATGGCGTCAGCCACAGACTCTCGCTATGGACAGAAGGAGTCCTCGGACCAGAATTTTGACTACATGTTCAAGATCCTTATCATTGGTAACAGCAGCGTGGGCAAGACATCATTCCTCTTCCGCTATGCAGACGACTCCTTCACACCCGCCTTTGTCAGCACTGTGGGCATAGATTTCAAGGTCAAGACTATCTACCGCAATGACAAGAGGATCAAGCTGCAGATCTGGGTGGGTCCAGCCAGGGGGGCTCCTAACTCCATCACTCTCCCTCCCTTCCCAGAAAAACAGCCCCAGCTTTGCCCATCTCTTTCATTCATTCACACAACTGGGCATTTACCATGTGCCTACTGTGCACCCAAGGCACAGAAGAGAGAGCCCCTCCTCTTCCACTGGAGCTTGGTCAGTGCTCCCCAGGGCTGAGGGATGAGCCAATGCTGGGTTCTTCCTGCACCTCATATCTGCAGCAGCATCACTGGGCTGGTGCCTCAGTTTCCTTGTCTGCAAGTTCTTCCATGTGAGTCTGAGGTTTCACCAGATGTTGGCCCCCCCAACCTCATTGCCTGGGACAGGCACCTCCCCAGGGTCACCTGGCTGCCTCCCACAACCCCACAGAGATCTGAAGGAGCCTCCGTGGGCTCCCACGTCACACAGGGTAAACCCCCAACCCCACCCTGGCATGGGAGACCCTGCCTGGTCTGTCTCTGTGACACCTCCACCCTGTCTCCCTCCATTGCTGCCTCTGCCTTACTATTCCTCAAACTCACCAAGCAGTCCATGTCAGCACCTTTGGCCTGGCTGTGCCCTCTCACTTCCTTCAGGCCCACACTGTATTTTCCTCCTCATCCTTACCGCCCTCTGACATAGTATACAATTCCTTCCATGTGTTTATTTTCTGTTTCCCACGATTGAGCTTAGTACCACAGGGGCAGTGATTTTTATCTGCTTTTACAGCTGTGCCCCCAGTGCCCAGTGTGGTATATGGCGCAGGGCAGTGCCCTGTACACGTGCGGTGATGAATGAGGGGACAGTTCTGCAGGTGCCGGACTCTATAGGATGACTGAGCACCACATTCTTGGTGCCGGTGGCTGGCTGGCTCTCCCTGGCCCCCTGTGCCTCTGGGTCTTGCGAGCGCTGGACTGGGTTGTCTCAGAGCTCATTTCCTCGCATGTGGGTCCACTCTGACCCTGTCTCTTCTTCCTCAGGACACAGCAGGGCAAGAACGGTACCGAACCATCACCACAGCCTACTATCGGGGTGCCATGGGCTTCATCCTCATGTATGACATCACCAACGAGGAGTCCTTCAACGCTGTGCAGGACTGGTGAGCACCCCCTCACCCCCTTTCTGTCTGTCTTCTGAGCTGGGTTTGTTGCAAAACCTGGGGGGTAGGCTGCTGAGGGGTCCCTAGTCCCCTGATGATACATAAATAACAATATTGGGGGCCCAGACCTGCTGTCAACCTATAATCATTAAAACAGCAGGTCTGTCCCTCTGATACCTCCGCCCTGTTCTGTCTCCCTCCACTGCTGCCTCTGCCCATTATTCCTCAAACTGTCTCCTGAGGAGTAATGAGGCTCAAAATAACGGGGTGGGGGGGGGGGGGGTTACCCGGTGGCAGCTCTGTGCCAGCATCAGTGAATTTACATCACTGAATTGCTACACAGCCGTCTACTGCCACTCATCTTAAAAAGAAAGCAGTCAAATAGGATCTTACTCCTGTTTGAACATAAAGTCTGAACATAACTACCAGCAAGTAAAATAAAACGAAACATATGGAAAAAAATCTGAGGGTGTGGGGGGAGAACAGACAATATCAGGACAGTTAACACAGGTTGAAGGACTAACACATTTACATTTCTGCCCAGAAGTAATGATACATTTTAAGAAAATTTCTGATTTTGCTGAGGAGAGAGAGAGGTTCTCTCTGGGGGCAGGGATCTGGGAAGGTGAAAGAGGCTGCTTGAAAGAGAGATTTTGAAGCGCAGGGAACTGCTGAAACAGACCCCCACAGAGAGCAGAGCGTTTCCGGCAGGACAAAGGCTGGAGGAGAAACCGAACCTCCCAGGTTCAAGGGAAATGGAGAGCTGAGGGCTGGAGAGCGGGGAAGGAGTGGAGCTCAGATCCTCCAAGCCCTAACCTGCCCATTGCCTTCTCCTCCAGGTCAACCCAGATCAAGACCTACTCGTGGGATAATGCCCAGGTGCTGCTGGTGGGGAACAAGTGTGACATGGAGGACGAGCGAGTGGTGTCGTCCGAACGCGGTCGGCAGCTGGCTGACCACCTGGGTGAGTGCCCGGAGGGGCTGGACACCTAGAGGCTAGAAGAGGGACGCTGAAACCCTGAGGGGAAGGGCCACACCCAAGGCCTCACAGCAAAGCCGGATGAGGTCCGGATGCAAATCCAATCCACTCTTTCGTCAAACTGGCCGTGCCCAGGAACCATGTACGGAGGGTCTTGGTAGATTCATTGACACCTTCACTGCCCAGCCTCATGCTGGGTGTTGCTGGCCTCCAGCTGTGTGGAATATAAGCACTAGGGCTGGGGAAGTCCAGTGGGGATTGCTCAAAGGCTTCGTGGAGGAAGGACATTGAATCCGGTTAAGACAGGGTGGTCCTTTAGGCAGAGGAAACTTGGGCAAAGGCCAGAGTGGGAAAGACCCTATGCATTTTGGCAAATACTTTTACACAGTTGCAATGAGGGTCATTGGGATGGAATGTGGCCAATGATGCAGGGTCTGAGCACAAGCTGAAGAGCTGGGCCCTTCCTAGGGCAATAGGGAGCCACAGAATGTGAGCAGGCGCAGGCATGGCTGGATGTGAATGTCAGATAACACCAGGGACAGTGTATGGGACTGGGCCACGTGGTGAGTCTTACCAGGGCCTCGAGGACGATGAGAAGGGGAGTTTTGTGTGTGGGTGTTTTTTTTAAATTTTTTTATTTAATTGATTTTAGAGAGATAGAGAAACAGCACTTGGTTGCCATTTATTCATTGGTTGTTTCTTGTATGTGCCCTGACTGGGGATCAAGCCCACAACTTCGGCATAGCAGGATGACACTCTAACCGGCCGAGCTAAGCAGCCAGGCCAAGAAAGGGGCAGTTTTAGGGTGAAGAAAGGAGGGCAGAAAACACAGCGCTGACCCAGTTGAATGTCACTTCCCCACGTTACTGGCCAGGGCCTTTATGGAGCAGTAGGCACTAGGAACCTCCAGTGGTTTCTGACCTCAGAGAATGTCTTGGGGAGTGGGGGGGGGGGCGGGCAAGGTCTTCACCCCTTTCTTCCCTGACCACAGGGTTTGAGTTCTTTGAGGCAAGTGCCAAGGACAACATTAATGTCAAGCAGACCTTTGAGCGCCTGGTGGACGTCATCTGTGAGAAGATGTCCGAGTCGCTGGACACGGCTGACCCTGCTGTCACAGGCGCCAAGCAGGGCCCACAGCTCACGGACCAGCAGGCGCCCCCACACCAGG